AGTCTGTGACCCAAGGTCTTCTCCCTATAATAAGCTTGAGTACAAAATATAGGCACACCTAGGCCATGTAGCTTAGTTTGAGAGTGGAAAATTGGGGATAAATAGGAATTAGATAGATGAGTGTAGGGAATATTCCAGGAATATGGCAAGAGCATAAATAATGGCTCAGAATTAAGAGAGACTGTGATGGGCCTGGGAAATTGCAACAGTTCAGCATGCCTTGAGTGTACAGTACCAAGAATATAATGTCAAGAGATGGGGCAGCCCTAGCTGGAGCAAGATCATGTGAAGGCCTTGAATGCCACAATAAAGAGTTTGAGTAAATGCTCTTTCAAAATGGGAAACCTGTGAGGAATTTAAAGTAGGGGGCTAACAGTGATCAGGTCCATGCTTTAGAAATATCACTGTGACCTTAGTGCAGAGAATAAATTGGGGGAATTCAAGATCGAAAACAAAAAGATAAATTAGTAATCCACATTAAAATGAAATGACACAAAAAAGTAGTATAGTGAGGTAGAATTTACAGGACTAACTCATGAATCGGATATGGGTAGAAAAAAAAAGACAACAGGTAAGAATGATGTTGAGATTGCTAGTGTGGCTACAGTGGTGGCAAGCCCTGGTAGAGGAGACTGGGAGCTTATGGGATGTAAAGGAAGGGTATGCAGAAAAGTGAGATGATGAGTTCAGTTTAGAGTTTAGACATTTTTAACTGTACTCTAGGATTCTAAATGAGTTTGTTAGACTGTTGAACATTCAGATTTCATATTCAGAAGAGATTTATACTGGATATTTAGGCATCATCAGCAAAAAATAATAGAGTGATAGAAACCACAGGGTGATGGATAACCCATTGAGAATGTAGTGGGGGTGGATAATTATGGCTCTGGAGTTGTAAGCCTGGGTGTGGTCCACCTTACTTAGCCAAAATTATTTTTTAAAAGAGAGAGAGAGAGAGAGAGAGAGAGAGAGAGAGAGAGAGAGAGAGAGAGAGAGAGAGAGTTTAATATTTATTTTTTAGTTTTCAGCGGACACAACATCTTTGTTTGTATGTGGTGCTGAGGATCGAACCCGGGTTGCACGCATGCCAGGTGAGCGCGCTTCTGCTTGAGCCACATCCCCAGTCCCTAGCCAAAATTATTAAAATCAACAAATAAGTACCTGCCACCTTTTTGTGTGCATTCTGCAGTCTGTTCAAAGTTGAGTAGTCCTTACATGACTGGAAGCTTCAGGACAGCCAGCAGTATTCATTTTAGTCCTCACTTTATTATCTCTCTATAAATATTGTTGCTAGTCTTATGCCAGCTAGACTCCCTGTGGTTGATTACAGCTGGGGAAATTATAGGGCCATATTGTGGATAGAAGCTGCTGCCATTGATTTGACATTGGGAACTTTGCCTATACAACATATGATGTAACAGGACAAAGAAACAGGAGAAGCAGTCACACAAACTTTCTACTTGATTGGATAATATGGCCCCAGACAGCTTTTGTTATTTTATATTATTTAGAGCAAGACTGGAGCGAAATACATGGTTATCTGGGCAGAGTAATCATCTTATCTCTTTAATAATTATTTAGGAAGGGAAAGAAGAAATAGATATATTCTTAAAGATTGTGTATCTCAGGAAAGATAAACATCCCATGATCTCACTCATGTGGAATCTAAAAGAGTGGATCTGAGAGAAGTTGAGAGTAGAATAGAAGTTACTAGAAACTGGGGAGAGTAATGGGAAGGAGAGATGAGGAGAGGCTGGTCAACAGGTACCATGTTACAGATAGATAGGAAGAATGAGTTCATTATATGGCACAGTAAGGTAAATATAGTTAATAATAATGCATCATATGTTTCATGATAGATTTTGGTAGATTTTGAATATACTCACTACAAAGAAATAATAAAAATTTAAGGTGATATGCTGATCACATTGATTTTTTCATTACCCAATGTATACATCTCATGTGCCTCAAAAACATGAAGATATCATACAAATAAAAAAATTAACATTAATAAAAAAGAAAGTCAAAAGTGTGCATCTCGGGCTGGGGCTGAGGCTCAGTGGTAGAGTGCTTGCCTAGCATGCATGAGGCACTGGGTTCAATCCTCAGCACCACATATAAATAAATGAAGGTATTGTATCTACTTACATAAAAAAGTGTGCATCTCTTTATGTTAATAATAAAGAACTAATTAAATTTATTTATTGCATGTGATTGTTGAAAAAGAAAACTTCTTTAAACACATATTGTGCTAACAATCACATAATAAAATATTTCATTCATTTTTGATAAACAGCTTCATGCTAGCTTAGTTATGTTATGACATTTCTTCTACCACATTTTATTCATTTGAAACAAGTCACTAAGTCCAGCCTACTTTCAAGCAGAGACTTAGATACTACCTTTTGGTGGGAGGAAAGTCACTGAAATGGCAGGTGTGTTTTAAATCACTAGCCTGAGGGAAAAAAAGAGTCCATTTTGGAAGATTTATCTAATTATTTTTACTACTGTCTAAAATTTGTCTTTCTCTCTTCCTTCTCTTTCTCCTTTCTTTCCTCCCTCTGTCACTCCCTCCTTTCCTTCCTTCTTTTCCCTTTCCTTCCCCTCTTTCACTGAGTGCCCAGCTAAGGAAGCTCTGTGACTATTAATGCAAAATGTGCCCAATAACCTCTATTATATGCCTGCATCTGAAGTGATGTTCAGCTTCTCTTGTGCTTAGAGTAGGTGGATTGTTGAGTTTAAACTAGGTTAGATGAAAACAATGGAGGAAGAGAGAGAGGTAATGTCAAGCATATTTTTAAGAGGGAACTGTAAAGTTGGATCATGGACTCAAGCTGGATTTTGATGGAAATATGTAGGATAGAGAAATGACTGATAGTAAGAAAGTAAGAGGGGCCAGTAGATTGGAGTTCTTGGTGGGAGTCAAAGGAGTGATGGTTGTGGGAATGTTAATGTAAGAGAGATGAATAGATGGGAATTAGTGGTCATATAGAGCAACAGAGTTGTTATGTGTGGAATTAGTGAATGGTATTCTTACACAATTATGTTTTAATCATTACTTATTTTCTTCTATCACTAGAATATTACTCTAGTGATAGAGTTACCATAAACTTCAAGGGACTGTAAATATTTTGGAATAAACTGTCTGGCTAAACAGTAGACGAGAGTCTATTATATTAGTAAAACAATTCTACATAAGAATTCCAAGAGAGCTGGGTATAGTGGCACACACGTGTAATCCCAGCAGCTTGTGGGGCTGAGACAGAAGGATGAACTAGTTCAAAGCCAGCCTCAGCAAAAAGTGAGGCACTAAGCAACATAGTGAGACCCTGTTACTAAATAAAATACAAAATCGTGCTGGGGATGTAGCTCAGTCATTGAGTGCCCATGAGTTTTATCCCTAGTACCCAAGGGGACGGGGGAAGAATTCCAAGAAAGAAGGATATGGCATATACCATTAATAAGCAAGTTTATTATTATTTCTTTTGGAGTACCAGGGATTGAACTTGGGGGCACTTGGCCACTGAGCCACATCCCCAGCCCTTTCTGTACTTTTGAGACAGGGTCTCACCGAGTTGCTTTACTTTTTGCTGAGGCTGGCGTCGAACTCGTGATCCTCTTGGCTCAGCCTCCCAAGCTGCTGGAATTACAGGTGTGCTCCACCATGCCTGGTCCATAATAAACAATTTAAAATTAAGTTTTGAAAACCAAGCAAAAAAGTCACTTTTATAACCCTGATATGATTTGGATTTGGAAATGTCCCCCAAAAGCTCATGGGTTGAAGGCTTGTTTCCCAATGCAGCAATGTTCAGAGTTGAACCATTGGGAAGTGATTGGATCAGGGGGCTCTGATCTCATCAATGAATGGACCCTCATGAGGTGATAGAAACTGTAGGAAGTAGGACCTAGTTGAAGAGAGTATGTCCCTTGGGAGTGTGTCCCTTTTCTTATCCTGGGGCCCTTTCTCTCTCCCTGCTTCCTGGCTGCAACCAGGTGAGCAACTTGTCCTTTGCTATGCCCTTCTACTATGATGGTCTGCCTCACCTCAGGTCCAGGGCAATGGAGCCAGTGGACCTTGGACTAAAACCATGAGTCAAAATATATTTTATCCTTTAAGTTGTCTTTCTCACCTACTTTGTTACAGCTGATCAACACACACCCTATGCTCTGAGACTGTTTCTCATATTGTCTGAAAATAAATCTTGTGTCTAGAAAGACAGAAGGGTGTGTGCTTTGAAGTACATTATCAACAGTGATTAATAATGTGTCAGTTGTAGGCATGACTGTTCTGATGTATTCTAAAGAGAGACGAACACGGATACAGTAAAAAACAAAACAGGTTTAGAATAGAAATACATATTATATAATCTTTTATACTTTACAAAGTACTTTCACATTCATTAACTGGTTTGAAAACAATACCTAGTTCGCTGCATCTTTTCAAAGAATCTGAAAGTACTTTCCAATAACCTCTTCATTCATTGTCTGGTAGACTTCAAGGTTTATCTCCCCCTCCTCCCCATGTTAGTTCCATCATTCACTCTCCTTCCTTAATTATGCAATATTAAAAACGTTTTTTTCTTTCCTGTCCAGGGTGAAAATTGGGCCCCTTGATTTGTGAATATTGACAGAACGCTACAAAGCAGTAGCTTTGATTTTCAAGCTTAAATAATGACATTGAGCCTGAACGTCAATTGCATGTCCAAGTCTTTTTCTAGCACCTGTTTAGCAGCGACTTCATTTTTTTTCTTAATCTGCAAAATACAAGCCGATTTACTTCATATATCTACCAGCAGAATAGGATTTAAAATTCCTTACAAGAGGCTGAGAAGGTCCAAAAAGAACAAGACCAAACTTCTCTTGTCAATTCAAATTACAGCATTTTTTTTAAAAATCCCTTTTCCTGATCCTTTGCTGACTTTTTAACTGCAATTAGAAGCAGGAAGGGAGCAGGGAAAGGAAACCAGGGATTGGAAAAGCAGAGGAAAGCCCAAAAGAACCTTTAAGTAGGAGCAGGAACCGGAAGGGGCTCACTGACAAATTTTGCAAAACTGCCCGAAGCTCAGTGGAAGGTATCATATCTGTGTATACTCCTCTAGCCCGGGTCAGGGACATCCCAGGCGGACCTTTGGAAGGACGCTGTCGACGGGAGGGCGCGGACCTCTGACGGAGCACAGGCGTTCGCACAGCTGCCCTAGCGTCCTCTGACCCGCCGGAAGAAGCCGCGGCGCCAGCGTCCTGCTGCCTGTCCGTCACGCAGCCGCCCACGCTCCCTCCGCTTCCGATTGGCCACAGACTCGGGCCGGCCCCCTTCCAGCCCCGCCCTT